GTAGAATAAAAACGCAAGCCACTAGAGTTAGACATACGTGATAATGCATAGCATGTGCACTGTTGTTAAGGCGAAAAGAACGGGTAGCAGCAAAGTGAGTGAAACGATGTAGCGAATAAAGGGAGATAAAAACAGAAACAGCTCTTGAAAATGTGAAAACTCAGCACAACTTAGGTACTCATCAAGTACACTTGATGCATAAGATGCAGAAACACGAGATTCCAAATCGCATGCGTGACTCTGCACACTATGTCGTAGTGAAGCAATACGAACTACAAGAGAACCAGGATTCACACAAGCCTGGTAAGTGAAATACAGTGGGAACGAGAAAACCAGTGAGTAAATCGATACTGGATAAACTGGAAATAATCCAGCCGGATGACAGAACTTGACCGTGCATAAAAACTAGGAATTTACTAAACAGTTGTTGTCACCCAACTACTACAGGAGTATTTCAAAAGTTGGGGCGCATCAGTGAAGACAGGACGAGTGCCTGTTGCGTAGATCGCATCCTACTTTTTGAACAGTGTCTTATAGAGGAATAAGGAATAACCACAGCAATTAATTGGATTCTGTTGTAAAGATCTCACTGACCGAAAACCTAGTTCCAGCGTCAATATTGTAGTGAAATCGACGATCCCATTCGCTAAATAGACATGAATACGCATTCCCACTCGTAGAGTAGTTGATCCAAGTGCACTCTAGGTAACCGCGTGTTCGAAATCCACCTCCTTCACTAGGTCCATACAGAAAAATTGTTATTTGCTAACCTGGTAAAAAACAGAAACGAAACGCCTAACTTACCGATAATCTTCTCGACCAGCTGCCACGGCTGAAATGTTGCGCAGGATGCCACCACTGTTTTCCACAATGACCAGTCGATTATTCAGATCGTCACAATGCATCGTGCGCAACAGGAAGGAGAATACGCCATCCACACTGGGATGTTCAACATTTGAGGTGAGAGAAAGAACGAGGGAGGGGTGGTGGAGAGTTAGGTGGAAGTAGATTAAGGGCACAGTAGTAGTAGTACTAGGCAAGTAGGGAGTGGGTCAGCTAATGGATCGATCGGTACCGATCACTGAGCCGAATGCGATCTGTATGGGAAGGGTAACATGTGAAACAGTTTATGAACTTCCTCTTCTACTCCATTGCAACGTATTTGCCTTACCTGAACAGCATGTGGAGACATTCTAGTACCGAAGGTTCTAACTGAATTATATCCCTTGTATGAAACGAGCTACATACGGGGACAGAGTGGTGGTGCAGGGTGAGCAGATGAGTTCGACCATGCGTGTACCAGATGATAGACGACCTATTATCCCCAAATTCCATGTCAACAGAGACCAGCAAGCCGATCAGATGGAAAAATAACATTAGGTCGGGGGAAAACAGCGCAGATAGTCAGTCCAGAACGGGACCGAAATTCCAGAGACCAAATGACGAACGATCCGTGCATTGTGTGTAGTGGGTAGACTTCGAGCGCAGAGAGAGCGTGTGCGCGCACTCGCAGGCTACGCGTAAGAACAGAGTCATGCTCCGCATCAACCACTGGGCAAGACTGCAATTTGTATGTTTGTCACCAAAGTGCGCGAGCGTATGCACACGGCCTTGTGAACTGTCGTGTTGGTCACAAATGCCATTTCTAAGATTGTCACCCGACCGACAGAACAAGCACGCTACGTGAATTAACGTCTGTGTACCGTTTAAAATCCTCATCATCATCACCCCACGACGAAGACGACCACCACAGCCGCTACCACCACCCGGACCGCAACGTATGCGAGCTGGGATAAACGATGGGACGATTCGTGTTTGAAAACACGCGCATGCACTGTAAATGACCTAAACCCTAAAGTGACAGATGGAATCGATGCTGGGTTGGCTTTCGGAGTTGGTAGACCCCTGTTGTACCACATCTTGCTCTATCAGGGCATAATATATTGTCACATTGTTTACGTCCTGTCCATAGGGAACACATGATACGCACGCCTCACAGATCAAGCGGCTGAATGAAACTGGCTATTAA